TATTTAGCCTTTTACATAGGCATATGCTCTCTCTATAGGCCTATACTCTCTATAGGCCTATTGTTCTTCTGTGAACACAGGTTTCTTGAGCAGTATCTTTTGATAAATCTTTGTTTTTGTAGTGCTAAAGTACTCTTCTTATGTGCAAATAGTGGCACACACATTATTGATCTTTTCTAGGAGCTACCAGTTTACGTTAACATGTAATTTGGAAGAAAAGTGCTCTATATCTCTCTCTATCTCTATCAATATAGTTAACAATAAGCTACATAAGAGTATGCGATAATTTAGTCAATATACCCTCTGAAATAGACCCAATTAAATGTATGCACCAGGTCTTGCTACTTTTCCTTTTTTATATATGCTAACACTGTCTTTGACTTTGATCACATGGACAAAAAGTAAAAGGAAAGCAAGTTCAAAGCTTTATACGTAGACTAGTAGTATACAAATAGTGATTTCAGGTAATATATTTATTTTGTACATGTAAGTATACAGTCCTATGGTTATGAATCCTGAAATGTTTTATGCATTTACAAAGTTTCAAAATTGTTTTCATAAGGCGTGAAGCCTGCTTGCATGTACATTTTGTCCTGAGATTTACAAGATTTTAATATCCCTTTCACAACCCAGAGATTTGAGTATCAGTAGCACCTGGTGGGATATGGCTCAGAGATAATGAAACTGCTTGTTTGGCATCAGCATTCTGGCAAACATTGGCAAGTAAGCATTGCCAACTTCTCAAAAGCTGTTTATTGTAGAGATTAATACAGATGGATTTTGGATATGGGAGATATGGGTAATATTAATTTCCACAAAGGTACTATTATTGATGACTTCCTAAAGATCATCATTGATACCTTTGTTAGTTTTAACACATCCTATTAATAACCTGTGTGGACAGGAGCTCCAATAGGAAATGTGAATGTTTTGTGAGAGTAAATGAAATTATATCCCGGTCAGAAATCATATGAGAAATTGATTTGCATTTTTTTCTCTCTCATATCTAGAGATATTACAATAGGTGAATATTTTTTGAGAATAAAGGAAAACAATTCAATTGTTCACAGATGTTATACCTTTCCACAAGTGCACTCACTATTTAAGGCCTTTTTTTTTTTTTTTTTTTTTTTTTTTTTTTTTTTTTTTTTTTTTTTTTTTTTTTTCTTCCAAGGTCAGTGATGTGTAAAGCTCATACCTTTTTCCCCACTTGCCTATAGAGTTTCCTCTGGTGAGAAATTATTGTTTAGGTGTGTTTTTGAAGAGAGATCATTATTTGGAATAAACATGTTGGGTTAATGAAGGTAGAATTGCAGATATGAAGCAGAAAGAGGAATGGACGGATATTTCGGGGAATATTTTGAAAATATGGTGGGAGCCTCTTTGAAGATGTTTTTCTGTTATTTATTATGCTTTGTTGCATTAGTTATGTTCATGTTTTATAGATATGGCTTGAAGCAACTTTGCAGATTAGCTGATAGCTGGATGGAAAAGATTGAAGATATTGCTATTTCTATTATTTTACTTTGTTACGTACTTTTTCATAGACCTCTCTGTGCTTGGAGCAAGTATGCTGCTTTGATCCGGGTTTTTTTGTAATGTGTTCATGTAATTCCTTTTTGTCTAGTGCATTGTGTATCGGAGGTCATGAGTTCAGTGGTAGAGCACCAATGACCAAATATGGTGAAACACTAGTAGTAAATCCTAATATGGTGAAACAACTCTAGGTGGCATGGTGTCAAATGATATCTTGCCCTTTATATGTATCACCTTAGGTTGACTTGTGATTTTATTTCATCTTAGACTTGTGTGGTTTTGTATATTTGTATAGGATGTTTGTAAGAGTAACTCATTTCATTCTGGCTTACAGTTTAGCTGTGTTCAACGTGAGGAATAATCGTGCAGATCTTTTGGGTAAAGATAATCTGGAAGACAGGCAGTGGAATAAGAGCTTTTAAATGATGGGAAATAGTTTTTTTTTATGTGAATTGTGTTAATTGAGACGACTGTAGAAAAAGTATGAATTGAAAAGAATATTCCGTGAAGATATTCTATTTTCATTTTAACATTTATTACTTTGTCTATGCTATGTATTTATAGATGTAATAAAAAGAGAAATGTGGTAACTAATATGATTTAGAAGAAGTATAGTTGCAGAATTAGTGCAGTTATGTAGGAAACCCCAAATGGCTAGGTGAAAGTGGTCTTTCTTTGATGTATTGCTTTCAGAAGTAATTGATTCAGTTTTAGATTTAATTGGTGGTTGTATTCCCAAGAGAAACATTTTGCAGTCTTAAGATAGCTGTTGCTTTTGTAGATGCTAAACAAGTTAAGTCTTTAAAACGTGATGATTATTGCATAAGAGATGGGACGTTATTGGTTCAAGGGGTAGAGTGAGTGAGTGTGCGAGTGTGCGTGTGAGTGAGTGTGTGTGTGTGTGTGCGTGCGTGCGTGCGTGTGAGTGAGTGAGTGTGTGTGTGTGTGTGTGTGTGTGTGTGTGTGTGTGTGTGTGTGTGTGTGTGTGTGTGTGTGTGTGTGTGTGTGTGCGCGTGTGTGCGTGTGTGCGTGTGTGTGTGTGTGCGTGAGTGAGTGAGTGAGTGTGTGTGTGTGTGTGTGTGTGTGTGTGTGTGTGTGTGTGTGTGTGTGTGTGTGTGTGTGTGTGTGTGTGTGTGTGTGCGCACGCGTGTGTGTGTGCGCGCGTGTGAATGAGTGTGTGTGAGTGTGTGTGTGTGTGTGTGTGTGTGTGTGTGTGTGTGTGTGTGTGTGTGTGTGTGTGTGTGTGTGTGTGATTGT